CACTGCCATTTCATCATTCACATTGGCTTGAAACCATAGGACGACCTCTTTTCTTAAATTCAAACTATAGAGTCATCGCCACTCTGTGCGGGGGTCAGCGGGTGGGAAGAAAGGGTTTTAATCGAGTCTGAAGACATTTTATATATTTAAACAAAATAAAGGGGAAAAGCTGTGTTTTTCTTTAACCTTTTGTAAGGCTTCCTGAGCACAAAGTAGTGCTAAAAAACAAACAAAAAAAAACCAACTTGGGGAATTAATTTAAATGTCAATGGCTTTGGAACATAAGGATTACTTTGGCCCTAAATCACCCTAGTAAAGAAAATGATGTTTTGCAAAAAAAACATTGCTCATTATTGATTCTATAACATTTGAGAAGTGGCAGAAAGAGGCCTGGTTGAATTATGTTTGCTTAGTGACCAAATGGGATGTAAGTTCAGTGCAAACGAATTATGGTAAATTGAAAAAGGGATCACTGGGTTTCGCACAGCTGAGTTCTGATACTCGACTAGGTTCGAGGTCATGTCCTCAGGGTCTACTATAGGGTTCCCACTGCAAAGGCTCCCCCCGAGCCTGGAGTGGGTTGTTTATGATGGAATGTTGGCTCTGACACTCAGTAACATCTGTGTGGCTCCTTCCGGAGTATCTCCGGCCCCAACAATCTCACCTTCTGTGAGGGCTGGCCCCTCCCTCATGACCTTGACCGCCACATCTTTACTGTGAGGTGTCCTCACTCCCACTGGCCTCTTATTCAGTGACCAAAAGACAACCCAGATCCTCTCCGCTGGGAAGGGGATCGACAACCAGAGAGAGTGTCCACCTCTGTGTGGGCTGAACTATGACTTGCGAACTCTGGACTGTGAGAGAGAGCCAGTGGTCAGAGGGCCTCGGGCAACAAAACCAGCCGGCCTGGAGAGACAGAGGTGGGGGCAGCCCCGCGAGGCCAGGAGAGGGATTCCCTGAGCTTCCGGCAGCCGTTATTTTTGAACTCCTGGCTCACTGTTTAGGCCTTGGCTGTGTTTTTCTGCCTTTTGGTTCTAAAATTCATCTTCTAAGAAAGTTTCTTTTTTTTAAGCTTTGAGCCTAGTTTATGTTTTTTTTCCTGCTGCTCGCAATCTTAGGAGTCATAGCCTTGGTAACCAAAATGGTGACTAGTGACCCAATGTCTGCGAAAGGAGGTAAGGGAACAGGCATAAGACAACAGCAAGGCGACAGTGGCAACAATTTTTTAAAACGTAAGATTTAGATATGACGCCGAAATCACAAGAGACAAAAGAAAAAAATGGGTAAATTGGACTTCAAGAATATCATCAAGATGATCTAAGGAATCTTTACAATTCAACAATAAAAGACCAATTTAAAAAAACCAAATAGGCAAAGGGCTTGAACAGGCACTTTTTCAAAGCTCTACAAATGGCCCATATTTTGAGAAATGCAAATTTAGACAAGGTACCACTCCATACCCATACCCACTAGGATTCTATAATAAAAATAGGTGGGTAAAGACAAGTTAGATGGTGACAGACTGCTCTATCCAACAGTCTGGCAGTTCCTCAAAATGTTAACCTGGAGTTACCACATGACCCAGAAATTCCACTCCTAGGTATATATATATAACAGAAGTAAAAATATATGTCCACACACGACCTTGTACATGAATGTTCATAGCAGAATCATTCACAATAGCCAAGAAGTGGAAACAACGCAACGGTCCATCAACAACAAGCAGATAAACAAGGTGGGTGTACCCATACAGGGAGTCGGGGTGCTGAGCGCTCATACTGGAGTCCTCCCCAGGCATCGCCTCCACCAAAGGGACCTCTCCCACTAGGGTCAGTGCACACCCTGTGACTGTTCAGAGCGGGGGCTGCAAGGCCTGGACCCCCTTCAGGACAACTCTAAAGCCATTTTAATTCTAGAGCTCTCCATGAGATTGGCCGAATCCTTCGCTGTAGCTGCACCACAGCCCCCCCCTGCGGCCTTCACCCTCTCACGGGTGTTTTCCCTGGCAGCCTCCTCAGAGAACTCCATGCACTCACGTTCCAGGGTCTGTCTCCCAGGGAACCCCCCACAAAGAGGAAGACACGGATCTGGGGTGCCTGCAGCAGCTGGCTCAGCCCACAGCCAGAGCTGAGGGAATGTGGATTGCCTTGTGGACTCCTCTGTGTCTACCTTTCTTGTTATGATGATGACAGGAAAGTAAGTCATCCCTGCAGGGTTAGCTAGAAGTTGCCAGTTGGTGGGGAAATGGGTGTTAAATCATCATCTAACCTAATCAGCAACAGACTCTCCAAGCTCTGGGGCCATGGAGTGTTTTAACGGGCAATCAAAGTGAACTCGTGTGGCTAGCAGAGATGGGCACGAATCCCGGGCCAGTCCCCATCAAAAGGAGAGATCTGTGTCTGCTCCCCGTGATTCTGACTGGAGGGACCTGGGCCTGCTTTGACTGGTAGAAGATGAAGAGATGCCGTCCCAGTTTCCAGACCCAGTCCTGGACCTGTTGGCAGCTTCTGGTTCCCGTCTTCTGGAGCTCTTGCTCTCTGGGGTCTCTGAGCTGCCACGTGAGAAGTCCTACTTTCCTGAGACTGCCCTCATGGAGAGGCCAAGTGTAAAAACTCTGATGGTCAGCCCCAGGGGAACCAACCTTCTAGCCATCCCTCTCCCACAAAATGCCAAACCCGTGAATGGAACTGTCTCGGATCATTCCAGATCCACCAGCCTTCTCTCTGGATACCACTTTGTGGCCTCAGTCCATCCTCCATGGAGCAGAAGAATCACCAGCCAGGCTCTGAAAAGCTCTTGACCCACAAAACGACAGCATAGCAATATGGTTATGTTTTAATTCATTGTGCAGTAATAGGCAACCAAACAACCCCCTCCTGGACCCCTCAGTAGCTCCTTTGAGCTCTCTCTGCCTCATGGGAAATGTGGCAGGGAGGGGGATGCACTGCGATCTCGCGTCTGCTTTAAAGCGTTGGAGGCCCAATACCTGAGATGCCTTGCCTACATCTGAACATTTAATTTGCAACCATCCTAGACATAGAATGTATTTCACTTAAGCCTTTCATCAAATGTATTTTTGTTAGATAGCCTTTAGGGTTTTGTTTTGAGCAAATGAAAGGATGGTAATTATTTGACAGAACCAAACAGTGGGTGAGGATGACCTCCCTGACATGGTCCTAGGGGGGCACAGACCTTTGCTTCCAGGACTGTGGCGTATAGACTCACAGGGAATCTGGGTCTGAAGGTTTTATATTAAAAGGAGACTTTGGAACTAGAGGTGTGTTCACAAACATATGAGGTCTGTCCATAAGGTATCCAGCCATGCGATATGAAAAGTAGAGACAGTTACTGAAGAAGATACAAGATACAAGATATATTGTACATAGGACAATGATGCCTCAGTCCCCTTCAAAGTAGGCACCTTGAGACCTCACACAGTTCTCCTAATCACCATCAACTGCCCCATCCTATTTTCCTGAATCTCATCAATAGTCTGAAGTCTTTTCCCTTTCAAAGGTGATTTAAGTTTTGGGAAAAGCCAGACGTCTCAGGGTGCCAAATCTGGGCTGTAGGGGGGCTGAGTCACTGAGATGATTTGATGTTTCACCCAAAAACTCTGCACGAGATGTGATGCATGAGGAGGCGTGTTGTCATGATGAAGCTGCTAATCACCAGTTGCCTGTAGCTGTGGCCTTCTGAATCATCTGAATAGTTTCCGTGGAGGAATGTTCAAGCTTAATGCAAAATTTGATGCAGATTCATTGCTCTACTCACTCAGTCATTCCTAATGTGATGGCCACACAGTACACATCCTCATTCGATGGCACCTACTGACCCCACTGACTAGTACAGTGAAGTCATCATTGTTCACACATGTGCATTCCAGTCCACTCCCCTCGGCTGCCAGGTTACATTGATGCTGCACAAACTGTTCTCATTATATTAACAATGGCTGGACTTTTGCCAAACAGACCTATTGTATCAAAAACCCAAGGTCATGGCTTTTCAGGAAATAGAACAATTTAGATATTTTTCTGAACTGTCTCCAGAAGTAATTTGTAAGTGTCAGAATCTGGGCCTGGATTTTCCATTTATAAGATACAGTCATCATACTTATACTTATTCCTTTTCTGAGTAGCTCATGGAACTATTGCTGCCAAGAGGTCTGAGTCTCCATGGCTCCAAGGACTGACCCATTAAGACGCCTGCCACTGTTTTGGAAGCTACAGGTACAATACGAATATCAAAGGTCTTATCCTGCTTTTATTCATCTCCAAATGTACCCCTCCCCCAAAAACAACAGCAACTTGGAAATGAAATACTTCCATGAAGGATGAAGGAACTCTGTGTCCGTCACTGTTTGATGTGTCCAGGTGGCTGCCCTATTACCGGCAGCTCTGGATTCCCCGAGAGAAACAAAGAAAGTAAGGTGGTTGAGCCCTTAGTGGGTGCAAATTCTCTAAATGTATCTGCCCGATCTCAATTCCCGCCATGTCCCTGTGAGGGGAGGATTTTGTTTCATCAGTAAGAACACCAAGTCTTGGGGGCGGGGGGCGGGTCGGGAACGCTCACAAGTTTTCACAGGCGGCGAGGGTGGAGCGGAGCTGGAGGGGTGGGCAGCAGTCAAACGCAGGTGTGTCTGTTAGAGGTCAAAGCCCCTCTTCTTTCTGCTGCATGGTGCTGCCTTCTGAAAGGTGGTCAGCGTGCCGGGCTTTTGTAGTTACCTATCTTGGAGGGGGGAGTCCAATCACCAATGCAGCGGAAGACTTTTATGGCTAATTGAAACTAGCAGCTGTATACAGCGCTCCCCTACACACACATGCACATGGTGTGTGAACATGCACTCTAAAGCCCAACGTCCTTCCATGTCGGTGAGGTCACTGGTGTCTCCCTTGGAATCTTACAGCTACTGATGTCATTAAATAGGTGCTAGGCTATGCGATCAAGGTTATTCGATCACAACATTTGTCCACTTAAAAATATGCAAAATATGTACGTACCTACACAAGTGTGGCCTTTGGAGACTCTGGTGCTGGGTGGGTCATCGTAGGCTGCAGAGGCTGAGGCGTGCAAGGTCAGGAGAAGGAGCACAGGAGCTGCCCAAAGGCCTCTCCAGGGGGACTTCATGTCCGGGCTATGCAGCCAGGGAGACCAGCCGGGTTGCAGAAGACGCGGGTGATGTGATGCCCTGAGGGCAAGGCCGCGGAGTGGAGAGGCCTTTCTCCTCTTCTCTTCCGTCTTCCGACACACTCTTACACACTCTTCAGTAAGTGTGAAGCGAGTAAAGACGCACAAACACTCACAGAGTCACTTGTCGCTACTTTAGATCCCTGAGAGAGAGCCGCCTAGGCTCTGGGAAGAGCGGGAGGGTCTCTGCCAGGCAGTTCTTCTGAGATAAAAACTACCAGAAAAGGAAAAACCCAAGCTGCGAGGTGGCAGAAATGCACGTAACTGGGCTTGCTGGCTGAAGTCAGAGGCCGGAAACCTCAGGAACCCCCCCGGCTGGCGGAACCATCCTGGGGGTGGTTAGAAGGCACTTCCTCTTTCATTCTTGCAAAACAAAAAAATTAAACTGCAGAAAAAAAATTAAAATAAACCACAAACACACAATCCAGTGGCTTGGCTCAGCAGTACCCAGTGGTCATAGAAATTATAATTTGTTACATTCAGAAGTTAACTTAGTTTTGCTCTGAACAGCTTTATAGGGCGAGGTTGGGTTCCGTATTTTGTTGCTGAAGGAGAGTCTGGTCAACTCTGGTCAACTCGTTATTTCCTTTAACGAAGGTGGACTATTCCTCCAGGGGTCAAGTTTTCTCCCGGCCTCTCATCTGGTGCACAGAAAATGACTGACGCCATAACAGGCAGCTGGCGTGGTTGGATTTTAAACCTGGTTAAGAAAAGGTGCCGCACGAACCACCTCATGTGTACGGGGCTGCGCACCACAGGACGCTTCTCTCCAGAATTCCGAGGTGTGTTCGCATTCCCCCCCAGAGGTGAGTTCTGCATTTTTAAGAGACTGATTTTCTGTTTCGAAGATGACAACTGCAAGCTGGTTTTCTGGGGAAACCATACAAAATGGAACCAGATCATCGATAAAGACATAATCTAAGCGCTATGTTTTCTAAAACAAGATCGAGTCAAAACAAAACAAAACAAAACAAAACATTCTTATTAGTGGTAAAATAAATTTTAAAAATTGGCCTAATCTCACTGGACTCACAGTCTCCACAGGGCTCCAGAAAACTCATTATCAAGTCGTTCATTCAATGCACATTTATTGATGATGTATTATTGATGATCACCTTCCAGTCGCTCACTGTTGTAGGCGCAGAAGTTAAGAAAACTTACAAAGATTTCTGCCCTCATTGAGTGGTCATCTGGTAAGTCACAGGGGACTTGTTGCACCATCTACTAAATCCATTTATGTAAGTGTGGCTATATCGCTCTTGCTTTTTGTCATTATTCGATCACATGGTTAGAGCAGGCAGCTGTATGGAAGTCCCTCCTTGGGTAACTCAGAAGCCCACCATTCCCACGGAGCAGAAAACTACAGTCTTTGTTTTACTTGCCTTGTAAGTGGGTGTAGAAATCGGGCCCTAGGACTTGCATACAGATCATTACACGGTTGCTATGCTGACTTAAAGCACATTTCATAGGAATAATGAAACAACTTCTTGTCTTAGGAAATCAATGACATGAAACTTTTAAAAAATCTGTTCCTCATTGATCACTTTATATAAAACGTATTTTACAGGGTCACAGACCCCTTTGCAATTCCGATGAAAGCTATTTATCTTCTTCCCAGAGGGGGAAAAAAACACATAACACAAACACACTAAATTTTATACATGTATTTAAAAAAAATAATGGACCCCTGAAATCCATTTATTTATTCTAGGGGTTCCTGGACCCCAAGCTGAGAACCCTGACCTGGAAGTTCTTACTTTTCTCAACTTCTTATTCTCTGTTCCGTATATGTGAACTCTTCCCATTTGGCCACTCGGGTTGAGAAATTGTGTAGAGTTTGGGCACAACTATTCCCACACAGACTCTGTGATACAATCTCCATTGAGCAAGAGTATCAGTGAACCCTGGTCCCGTCTCCGGCGGCTGTTGGAGCCGATGTGCAGGAAACCCCAGCCAGGGGCTGGTCTCTTGTCCCCAGGCCAGACGCCAAGCACTGGCTTTCATTTCTTCTTCTCAGTTTGTGGCAACCTAACCAAAGCTCCTTGTATATTTTCTGTATAAAAATCCTCCCCTGAGGAGATTTTTTTAAAAATTGACTTTTTTTAGAGAGGGAGAAAAAAACATCGTTGTGAGAGAGAAACATTGACCGGTTGTCTCCCATAAGCACCCTGACCGGGGGCTGAATCTGTAGCCTCGGCATGTGCCCTGACTGGGGATTGAACCTGCATCCTTTCAGTGCGCAGAATGACACTCAACCAACTGAGCTACCCGGCCAGAGCCTGTGTATATTTTCTTTACATCTACATGTAACCTCTTTCATTTCAGTTTGTGTTCTTCCTTTTGCCTTTCACCAAATCTACGAACAACCCCTTGGTCATTCAGAGAAACCAGTGTGGGTTGTTTCCCTTTCCCCAGCCACGAGGGGATGATTTCAGAGAGTAAAATGGTGGCATCAACAGCTAGAATTAGTTATGAAATTTATTTTTCAATGTGTGAGCCTAGATAATGGCTCTCTAAAGACACTTATGTTCTAGTCTGGGGACCTGTGAGTACGTGACCTCACGTGGCCAAAGAGATCTTGCAGATGTAATTAAGTTAGAGATCTTGAACTAGGGCAATACCCTAGACTAGTTGGGTGGGCCCACAATAATCACAAGCGACCTTCCAAGAGAGGGGCCAAACGGTCAAAGTCAGAGGAGCGGATGTGACAGCAGAAGCATAGGCTGGAGTGATACAAAGGAGGGGCCAGGAGCCCAGAAAGGCAGGCAGCCCCCAAGGCTGGGAGCCAAGGAACCAGATTCTGCAGAAGGAACGAAGCTCTGCCATTGAGTCTAGCCTGCAAGACCCCATCTGGATTTCTGACTGCAGAACTGTGAGATAAATTGTTTGTTTGTTTTTTATCCTTACCTGAGGACATGCTTATTGACTTTAGAGAGAGAAGAAGGAGGGAGGAAGAGAGAGGGGGAGAGAAACATCGATGAGAGAAACATCGATGAGAGAAACATTAATGGGTTACCTCTCTTATGTGCCCTGACTAGGAACCGAACCCACAACTCAGGCATGTGCTCTGACTGGGGATTGAACCCTCAATCTTCTGGTCATAGGACGACGCTCCAGCCAACTAAGCCACACTGGCTAGGGCTAAAGTTGTGTCGTTTTAAGCAACTACATTAGTTGTAATTTGTTACACAGCCAGAGGGGACTGATACAGTCATTAACTAGTTCATTCAAGAAGAACAAAGGATTAAAGTCGGGAGTTCCAGGTCAGGCAGGAAGGAAAGGAGAGCATGCCCCGTTTGAGCCAGCCAAGCGGAGGGGAAAAGCGAGCACCAGAGACAGGGGAGCGAGCAGTCAGACACACATAGCCTGAGGCCGGCCCTCCAGGCCCCAGCTGAAGCTTGTAGGTGTTAGAAAGACTGAGGGGGCAGCAGGAGCAGAGAGCTCTCCCTCCGCTCACTGCTGGAAACCCGGGGAGGGGGGAGGGGCACGCCTCAGCAGGCATCTCTCAGCGGCCCCAGAGCCAAGTGCGGGGCCCCTCGTGTGGCGGGGAAGGGGCCCTTCAGTGCGGTGCCGAAGGCACTTGGAAATTTACTTGTGGCCTGTAGGAGAAGCAGATTTTTATTTTTAAAAATAAGCCGATTTTTGGGCTCCGACTTCTGCAGGTTACCCGTGTGGACGCACCACCAAAGGCTGTTTTGCAAGCATGCAGGCAGCCGGCATGACCGTCTCCCCTTGATTATGAAAATGGGCACAATAATAATGATAAAATAATGGTGGAAACCTTCTTTTAGCTGAGAACCCTGCATACGCAGGCACACAGAAAACCGAGGTGTAAGCCTGCCGTTTTCTGACGCCAGTATAGCAAATACAAAAGCGGAGCGAAGGGAACGGCGACACCCTGCGGCCAAGGGGAGTGGGCGGAGCGCTCCGGCGCGCCCCAGCCAGGGCCGGCCGGGCGATGAGCGGCTGCGGCGGTGGGGCCCGGGTACGTCTTGTCGCAAGGGGTCCACCTTGGCACATTCCATGGGTAAGAATAAAACAACGGCCTATGTCAGGAAATTAAGGACCAGAGGCCTTTTTCTCTGCTGCTAATCGATCATTTCATGTAAAATATCTCACCGAAGGAGCAGGGAGGGCCAAACGGCTGGGAGGGAGCCCAGGGGTCAACGGCAAGTTCCCCAGCATTTCAGATCCAGAGGTGGCAGCTGTGGCTGTCTGGGCCGTTGTCGCGCAGCGCAGGGCTGCCGCGGGACACTCCAGGAACTGGCACGCGGAGGGAGAACTCTGCTTTTCCCACCACCCCAAAATTTGTCTCATGTCCACACTTCTACTTCCAAACTTCCCTTTTAAATAGATGCATACAGTATATTTTATGGAATTAACAAACCCTATTGTTGGAACTTTGACTTCTTTCTATGTATTCTTCATTTAAAAACCACACCGTGTTATACATATCAGAAGTGGAAAACTTTCCCCACACCCAGAAGCCATCGTGGGAAGACGAAAGTAGAGGAAAAAAACCCAAAACAAACAAACGACAAAAAAAAAAAAAAAGAAAAAAAGAAAAAAAGAAAAAAGCCCTGGCTGTTGTGGCTCAGTTGGTTGGAGCATCGTCCCCTACACCAAAAGACTAGGGGATGGATTCCCAATCAGGGCACATACCTAGATTGCAGGTTCGATCCCCAGTCAGGGCATGTATGGGAGGCAAATGATTGATGTTTCTCTCTCGCACTAATGTTTCTCTCTCTCTCCCTTTCCCCCTAAAATCAATAAACATATTTTAAAAAAAGATAAGGAAGAGGTGGAGCAATATAGAAGATTGAGCATTTACCCAAAATAGATCTGGTCGCCCCAAAGAGACTTCCAGCCACAGAGACGGAGATACTGCTAACTGGCAGGTTGAAGGGTGACCTCCGTGCCCACTCTCTCTGGGGTGAAAGGAAGACCCGTCACTGGCAGAAAATGGGGAAGCAGCAGCTTATTCACATAAGGTGACAGTGTGTGCCACTTTTGACCCCAGTCCACACGGCAATGATAATGAGGACAGAGGGGTCTCTAAGGGGGCGAGCCAGCCCTTGTCCTTGACTGTGATCCACCAGGCTTGTCTGTGACCATGGGCTGAAGGGCCCAAGGCCATGGCAGAGCTATGTCCTGAGAGCCAGGAGCACAGGACAGTTATCTTAAAGTTAGTATTTAACAGCTCAAATGTCTATGTAGCTCTGGGTGTTATTCTATTTTCTGGGCTTTTTGGTTTCTTTTTGTT